GTCTCTGCTTTTCACGATGCTGTCCAGATTTGTCATCGCTTTCCTCCCAAGAAGAAGGCGTCTTTTAATTTCAGGGCTGCTGTCTCCATCTGCAGTGATCATGGAGCCCAGGAAGATAAAATTTGACACTGCCTCCATATCTTCCCCTTCTATTTCCCAGGAGGTGATGGGACCAGTGGCCATGATCTTAGTTTTTTTGATGTTGAGTTTCAGACCGTTTTTTGCACTCTCCTCTTTCACTCTCATTACAAGGTTCTTTAATTCCTCCTCACTTTCTGCCATCAGAGTGGTATCATCTGCATATCGGAGGTTGTTGATATTTCTTCCGGCAATCTTAATTCCGGCTTGGGTTTCTTCCAGTCCAGCCTTCCGCATGATGTATTCTGCATATAAGTTAAATAAGCTGGGGGACAATATACAGCCTTGCCGTACTCCTTTCCCAATTTTGAACCACTCAGTTGTTCCATGACCAGTTCTAACTGTTGCTTCCTGTCCCACATATGCCATACATCTCTACAAATAAGCACGCTTAAGATCTCCGTTCACGTGCCTGTAGATGCAAACATGTCCGTGAATACACGTGTAATGAAGGCTCTCTAGTGGTTTACTGAGCATACATTTATATACAGTACAAATGTATCAACGACTACGGAGATGTTTGAAGAGCCATCCAACGCTAACCAGGAATTTTTAAATAGTTATTATTTATTTCTCTTTATTTAAAATCTTTTTATCCTGCCTTTCTCTTAAAAAAGGATTTAAGGTGGCTTAAAAGTATGTAGATTAAAAAATGAAAGATTCTGTGCCTCTGTCGCCTCTGATAAGATTTATTATGGCAGGAGGTAGCAAGGGCTAATATGTTGAAATAAAGGGCAGCCGTGTGGTAAAAATAAAAAATACAAATGCTAGAATAGGCAATACCATGACAGACCACTAAAAACCATCACACAATAATGTACAATACAAACATTCCTTTATCAGGCTTGTACCATCAAAGCTCATGGCAAGATGGATTTTGCCAGGAAGGTTACTCTCACATGTAAAGTCCAAAAGTTCTTGGCAATATATATTTTGCCCAGGCACATTTTTCTTAGATGTAAATCAGGAGAAGTGCCAGAAACGTCACCTGTGTATGTGTGACTGGTATCACACATGTTGTGGGTGACATGTAAACAAAACTAATACTGGCAAGAACAAAAAAGACTGATTTAACCACAATTTTTCCTAGAAAAGGTTCACCACTCATGCCCCAGACATCCTAGCATTTGTTTAAGCCACTTCACACACATACACATGACTTTTGGAGGGAAAGAATCCCTTTAGAACTACAGTATAATCCATGCACGCTTTTAAGCAATAAAACCGATGTGTTAGACCAGATTTGCTCAATGTTCCCTTGAAAACAAAGGCACAGTTCCAGAACTGAGCAAATGGTTTCAGTTACGAGCAAAGATATTTCCAAGTTTTTGCAACAACCTTTTTCCTATTTCTGGGCACTTTACTGATTATGTCAAACTTTTGAATATTTCTATACTGCTAGCATCTCCCTCAGCGGTTCACAAAATACATCTTAAAACCCTTCCATGTCGAAATAATTGCAAAATCAATGCAAACACACTTCTAAACGTTGAAAAGCTTGAGACTGAAACCCCATGACTTCAGCATTTGAGGCTTCAGCCTTCCCCTGCGATGTTCAACCCCAATATCTGATGCTCAGATATACTGTCTCTAAACATGGAAGCTCCCATTTCTCTGCCTTGGGTAATATCTAGTATTAAAGCCATTCTCTGGGGACTTCATTCATCATGTAAAACAAACAAATAAACAAACAAAAAAGACTTTTGAGGAAACAAGCTGTCTGTCCACCAAAGCTATAATAAATCTGATCACATTCTTTGATTAGAATGGTAATGGGGGCAAAAAAAAGGGGGGGTTCTCAGTACTGACCTGGTCCATGATGCAGGATGGAAGGGAGGAAAGCTGTAGCATCCTTCGCTCGGTTTAAAGATCCATGCACACCCCAGGACGAAAGGATTTGCTTCCAAGCTTTTCAGCTCGAAAAGAAACCTAAACTGAAGCGCCAACGGAGAAGGGAACCAGCTGGGGGGTCCGGTTTCAGGATCACTTCCTAGACTCAAGGAGTGAACATGTTAATAGCAGGTTTGGAGAAAGCTCTTCAGCTCACAGAGAAGCCCTCACACAAGGAGGGGCTTTTCCAGTTGCAATTTAAATTCTTTGCAACTGGCAAAGATTCAGAGACTCTTAGAACAAGAGGTCCCTGAAGGGGTAGGATCTTTCCTTGCTCACGGCTGCCGCACAGCTCGTGACACAACAGTCTTGGAACAGGACATAAATATATCATATATAGAGCAAATATCCAGCCCACGACAAGGTGCGATACCCTCCCAGGAACCCTCCAAAATAAGTTATCTTCTATTTTTTGCCTCTGATGGGAATATGAGCCAAGAGCTGGTTTGTCCCAAGCCATTGAGAGGTCCCTAGCTTTGTCGTCGTGGGCATAAACAGAAGCGCAGGGCAGGCGAGACTGAGAGCGATCCATCCACATCTTAAATAGGTTCACTAGACTTGGGGCAGGTTCCCCAAAAGGGTGCCCATCTTGGCAAGACAGTGGGGAGACTCGGAGCAGAATGAGATGACCCAAACTCTGAAATGACCCCCAGTGGAAGTCCCTCTTCAGATGAAGTCAGGTGCTTTAAGGTTCCCCAACATTAAAAAATAATAATGATAAAACTCTGCAAAGAAAACAAACTAATAAGAAAGTTGCCAGCCACCCCACCTTCCTGCAGCATTTTGTATGTGCTGGATTTTAGGGGTGCATTCAGACATGCAACCCCCACACAGTCATGCTGGTTCGGCCACCTCGAGCCTCTTCTGTCTTATTCTGACGTTCCTTGTGTAGACAGGTACGCAGTCAGGATGTAATTCTCATCGTTTGTGTTGAGGCCTCGGATCTGAATATAATAAAGCTGCAGATAAACACACCAAAGTGACAGCAAGACCAAACCCTTCTTATATTTATCTGCATCTGTTGTAATACGTGGAGCCCAGCAGGTTCAAAGTGGCTGTACACTGAAAACAAGGCTACCATCTGCCGGCCAGCAGTGAGAATTGCTAACTCCCTTCTCAGAATCAGCGAACAGAATCACTCATGCAATCATAATGAATAATACCTTTATATAAACTATTATTCAATATGCCATGTGCACTTTTCTTCCTTATACTAGTTGGTTAAACAAAGCACCATTCTAACCCAATTGCATCCCATTGAATTTTACTAGAGCAACCTTACTGTACAGTGGTGCCTCGCTAGACGACATCACTCATGCAATCATAATGCACTGTTTAGCGAAATCATTGTCTAGCGAAAAGCATTTCCCCATCGGAATGCATTGAAACTGTTTATTGCGTTCCAATGGGGAAGAATCGTCGTTGTCTAGCGAAGATCAGCCATAAGAAAGCCGCTTTGCGAACTACCGATCAGCTGTTTAAATAGCTGTCTTGCGAAGCTTAGGTCCCGAAAACACCTGTTTTGCGAGCGCAGAGGGAGCTGTCAAAATTGTCATCTAGCGAAAATCGGTTTGTAAAGCAGGGACCAAACATTGTCCACCGAAATTCCCCCATAGGAATCACTGTTTAACGAATCGCTATAGCGATCGCAAAAAGCCAATGTCTAGCGAAAAAACTGTCATGCGGGGTAACTGTCTAGCGAAGCACCACTGTATTTAATGGATGTTACTTCCAGGTAATGAACATGCCTCGTTAAATTTGTCAAGACTGCATTATTCAAAATCCATATCTGTTAGTATCATAAAATATAAACGGAATTTGAGACAGGCTGTAAATCGAGTATTTGTAAAATAAAAGGCAGTTTCTGGGACTGCCTCTTCAGATAAGGTTTCAACCCTTCAGACTAAAAATCTGGTGTAATCCAAAACTATGCGGTGTCTTTCAGGTATCATGAAAAAGATACTAGTTAATGCTAGTTATCCTTACCTGAGCCATGACTGGATCTGAACACATTCAGTTACAAAACCAACTATCTCCAAGTAACTTGTAAGCTATCAGAATCTACACCTCCCTGATCCATCTTAAAAATTTAAAAGCAAAACATGTTAAGATATTTTCTCTCAATTCTGCACCCAGTTCCTCTGCAGCTTTTACCTTAAGCGCAAACTATGGTTTTCCAGATGTTCTTGGGCCATAATTCCCATCAGCCTGAGAGAGCTGTGAGGGATAATAGGAGCTGTGATCCAACATCATCCAAAATAAGAAAACGTATTCTCCTCCCCCCCCCAGCAGTGAATACCGCTGGACATTCTTCAAAATTTAACATCACCAAAGGTTACTTATAAATGCATTGGTCGATCCTAAAAGTAAATAATTTTTTAAAAAAAAATCAGGCATGAATTCTCATTTTCTTTATAATATTTCTTGTTATAAAGGTAAACCTCATCTTGCATCTCAGCCTTAGACCAAATGGCATTTATTAAAACTAAGTCATTCCCACGTTTATTTTAATCACTCCTCTCCTTAAAGATGAACTGTACTGGGAATAAAATGCTGCATCACGAATTTTCATTTTAAATAAATACTATCCTGTAAAACTGTGTTTTTTTAAAAAATACACTCATTTTCTATTTATATCCACCAATAAAACTGAACAAAACTATATTAAATCTTAATTATTGCAGTTTCATTTAAAATGTAGGCTTCGTTATTTATTTTAAAAAAAATACATCATTTTATTTTATGTTTATTTTGGCACCTGAAGCTCCACCCACTCCTCCCTCCTTTCCCCGCCCCCTTCTTGCACCGCCTCTTTCCCCCCCAGCAAGGACTGTTCTGCGCATGCTCGGAAATTCCGCCCTCTCTCCATTGGCACAGGCTTGTCATCGTCTTTTTTTCCCTTTCTGTCGCAACCACCGCTGGGGTGAAGGCTACACCCACCAGGCATGACCTCGACCAATAAAAATCTCTCAACCCTATGATTGGCTTAACATTTAACCTATTATATTAAGCCTTTGAGGATAACTTCTGTCTTCGCCGATAAGCGTGGTTCCAAACTGACGTGTCTTCTGTCGCCGGCCAGTTAAAACAAAGGCCAGCTTGATGGACGTGGCCACCGGCCTATCGCAAACGAATCAGGACCGCCTCCGTTCTGTGTAGGGAAAGCAGAGGGCGTTGAATACCGTTATGACGACACTGGAGGGGAAGCGAAGGGAGGCGGGCCGAGAGGCGGAGTCGTGGGCCGCTCTCCAATCCCACCAATCCAGCCCCTGAGTGGCGTTCCAGAGGACCAATGAGCCCGCTCCCCCCGCCCCTCCGCCAGGGAATGAAGGAGGGAGCGGCGAAGGGGGACGGCCTATTGCGGAGACGGGGAAAGAGGCGGCCGCGCAGAACCAGGAGGAGGCGGCGACGAGGACGACGCACCAGCAACGGCCATGGCAGAAAGCGACTGGGACACCGTGACGGTGCTGCGCAAGAAGGGCCCCAGCGCGGCCCAGGCCAAGTCGAAGCAGGTGAGTCGGCGGGGGAAAGCGCATGCGCGGCCTTGGCCACGCCTCTTTCGCTTCAGGAAAGGGGGGGTGACAGGGACCCCCCCTCAAAGTCCCCTCGCGTCCCCAGGTTAGGCCCCGCCCCCAGGAAGAGAGCCCCTCCCCTTTCCAAATGTCCAGTGGGCGTCGAAAACAAAATTTCTCAAACTGAAAGAAAAGGAAAGGGGAAAAAAACACCTGGGGCTGGACTACAAAGCCCAGCATCCCCCCTCTCAAATGTGCCTGGACCACAATTCCCAGCCTCCAGAGGGGGCTGGAGACAACAGCTCCCATCGTTTCCCCCTTGCCCCCCGCTGGACGGCGAGGCTCCCATCCTCATCTCCAGGGAGGATGATGGGACCTGTAGTCCAGCACCAAGGCTGGGCGAAATCCTCCCTGGTCAAGGTGGGGATGACAAGCCCCCCCCCGTCGCTGACCCCAGGCTGGCGGGGCTGCTCGTCCCCCCCCTCCCCAATGCCATGCCATGCCCCCCTCCAGGCAGGTAGGGCTGGCAGGGCTCCCCCGCCCCAGGCATCAGCAGGTGAGGGCAGGAGGAGGGCCAGGAGTGGTCCTGGGTGGGTTTTAGGGTGTGTGTGTGTGTTTCTTAGGGCTGGCCAAGGGAAGTGTTTCCGGGGCTGGGGTGGAAAGCATGCCCGCTTGGGCTGGGATCGTCTCCTTCTAGGCTTCCCTGCCTTGTGCCTCCGTGGCCCCCTTTCCCTCCTTTCTCGGGGCCACCCCCCCATCCCCCCATTTTTACACTTTCTGGGTCTGTCGTCAGCCTCTCGAGAGGCGCCTTTCTTTCTTTCTTTCTCCTGGCTGTTGCTGAATCAGATGCCAAAGGTTATATTTATCCCGCAGCCCAGCCTTCTCTTATAAACATGCAAGGCTCTTGGCAGGTTTCCTGTCCCTTCTCTCCCCCCCCATCTGATTCCCGCTTGCCCCCCCCCTGGTCCTCAGGGTCTGGGGTCTGCCTCCAGGGAAAGCACCAGGCACACAGGGCTGGCGGTGTGCATCTAAGGCCCCTTGCAAGCAGAGAGATGGATGTGAGTTTGGTCCTTTTGGAAAAGGGAGATCTCCGCCTGGGGGCTGAGTCACAGAGGGTAGTCCCGGTTTACGGCTGGTCCTCCGGCGCTTCCTGATGCAACTTGGGTGCAAGGACACTAGTGTTTGTTGAACTTTGGTCCCTGGCCAAACCGGAGGACCAAGTCAGAAGAAGAGGCTTGTCGGAGGGAGCCGGTGGAAGCTGCCCAGGCAAGGAGCCTCCTCTGAATTTCTTTCTCCCTGGGAAAAGCGAGGGGGGGGTAGTGGGTCTGATATTCCCCCCACTGCTACTTCCCCTTTCCCTTCTTTGCACCTCTTCTGTTAGGTGCTCCTTAAAAGTTCAGTTGGCAGAACAGATGTTGCAGAACTACAACACCCACCATCCCCAACCCCCAGTTCTGTTTGCTCGGGGCTGAAAGACCTGGAAGGCCACCAGCTGCCCACCCTGTTTAGAAAGGGTGTCTCTTCGTCCAGATAGGCGGGATATAAATCAAATAAATAATAATAAAATAATAATAATAATAAAGGTGGCCTTCCAGCTGTTCTCTCTTTCGTGGAGATGCACCTCATTTTAACTCTTCCTTTCCAGGCGGTCCTGGCTGCTCAGAGGAGAGGCGAAGACGTGGAAACTTCCAAGAAATGTAGGTATCCGTGGGCCTGATGGAGGATCATACCATGACCCCCGGCCTGGAGAATTAGTCTTTGTCTTCCTCCTTTGGCGGCTCTGGGGGGGTTTGCGTTGGAGGTGGGATGAGAAGCCACACATTGAAACTTCTGGGCAGCTGATTCGGGATGGAAGGGAGTTTTCACACAACACGAAAGGAACGTGGATAGAAGGCTGTGGACTTTTTAATCGTTAGGTCTTTATTGAGAGGTCCCAGTATTGTGCTGTATAAGCCCCAAAGAAAATCCTGCTAAAACCTCATGCAGGAGCTTGCATGAGGAAGAAAACCATATGGAAGGAAAATGAGTCAGCCAGCACTTCCTGTGGGTTGTTCCCTGGTCTTATTCCTGGGCCCGGGCGGCTGGCTGCTCCCACCCAAATCCTTGGAGGGTGGGCTCAGCTGCCTGGCCTTTGGGTGCCCCTTCTTGCCTCACCTTCCCCCTCCCTGTCTGGTCAAGAATGTGAGTCTTCTCCGAAGGCTAGGGTGAGGCAGCTGCCCAAATGATCATTTCGGGAGTGTTGAGTGGCAGCTTTGCCCGGAGGGGAAAAAAAAACTCAGTTCTGGTCTGCGTGTGCCCTTTCCAAGACATGTAGAGCAGAGGCTGTCCCTCCTAACTCCCCACCCCCACCCCTTGTGGGGCGAGGCCTGGCGTTCTAAGGTTCGGTCCCACCTCAACAGGGGCGGCGGGCCAGAATAAGCAGCACTCCATCACCAAGAACACGGCCAAGCTGGACCGGGAGACGGAGGAGCTGCACCACGACCGGGTCCCCCTGGAGGTGGGCAAGGTGATCCAGCAGGGACGCCAGAGCAAGGGCCTGACCCAGAAGGACTTGGCCACGGTAAGTGCCCAGAAGGGACGCGAGATTGGGGGGAACGGAGGGGACACAAAAGCCCTCAGGGTGGGTGGGGGTTCGCTTTTGGGCCAGAGGGGACTTGACGTGGAGCATCTGCAGGTGGACAGCTTCCCTTCCTCCAGCTCCTCCACACGCACCCCTGTGGAGCTTGCCAGGTGCACCCTGTGAGCATTCCTTCCAAGGCGATGAGGCTCGGATGGGGGCCCTCAATCTAATCACTGCTTCAGTTTCCGTTACCTCCCTTTTTCACGGGTTGTAAAGAATGCAGAAGCCATTCCCCCGGGAGGTTGGCCACCTCTAACGGAGGGGCCTGCCTGGTTGATGTCTTGGGTTGTCTCACCAAACCTTGCCGTCTCCGTTGTCGCCACCTCTCTAGAAAATCAACGAGAAGCCCCAGGTCATTGCCGACTACGAATGCGGGCGGGCCATTCCCAACAACCAAGTCCTGGGGAAGATCGAGCGTGCCATTGGTGAGTTGTTGCAGCCCTCGGCTCTTTCCATCGCCCTTGGGAGGGGGGGGATTGGGTCTTGCGGGGCCTTCCTCGTCGGCTTGGGAGGGACGGGTCAGGATCATTCCCAGCCCACCGAGTCCAGCGGTCCTCTTTCGTCCCCCCGTTCTAGGTCTCAAGCTGCGTGGACGGGACATCGGAAAGCCCCTCGAAAAGGGCCCCAAAGGGCAGTGAAGACAAAGCCTCGAAATCAGTTTGCCCCGACTGATCTCGCCCCGGCCGGCCTCTCTCGTCTCTCGGACGGCCAGGATTTCTTTTGTCTTCGATGGGCGAAGCGCAAGCCGGCTTCGGCCTTGTTAGAACAAGGGGAGAGGGGGAACCCTCTAGAATTTCAGCCCTGCTGTAAATCGGTGACCCTTCTCCACTGGTGACGGTCTCTCCTTCCCTCAAGAGATTTGAGTATCCAAAAAATCTAATAAATGCTGCAACAGAATCTGCCAGGGGCAAAATCCAAACCAGTACAAAGCAACGCCTTTTCTTCTCTGGGTGTTTAGAAGCCGCCGGCCCTGGAAGGATTTTGGGGGGGAAAGGATGGGGTCCAGAGAAAGAGGGTGGGCACGTGGGGGGGGCGCGCGAGCCGATTGGGTGGCTGCGCTTTGTTTGGCCATTACTTCCAGCTGATCTTCAATAAAGCTTGTTACCCTTCAAGATGGGGAATGGTGACTGCTTTCCTATCTGTTCGCTCTGGCCGCCCACTTTCGAGGGCTTGCCCGGAGCCATTTTGCCTGCATAATTCCAGGGACCTGCGGGCCTCCCTTGCAGCTGCTGCCAATCTGTTGCTATTTGACCCCCCCACCTCCTTTCAGGCACACACATCCATGTGGTCTCTCCCTGGATCTTCTCGCGTGGCCATTCTTTATTCAATCCTAAACTACCTTTTCCGAGGAGGAAGACTTAGAACAAGACTTTAAATGCGGTGCCTTTCCTGAACAATCCTAAACTACCTTTTCCGAGGAGGAAGACTTAGACTTTAAATGCGGTGCCTTTCCTGAGCTCAGATTAGGGTCCGTCCTCACCCACCACCCACAGATTCCCTATGAAACTCTCAAGACTTGAGATTTATTTTTTATTTTTTTGAGGTTCTCTATTTGCCTTTATTTCGGAGTTGAGTACTCCTGCCCACAATCTTACCTTCGAAAAGACATGATGAAAAAGGCAAAGGGGGGGGGAGGGTTTGAAAGGGGGAAAAGCAAACATTCTTTTGTATGTCCATCAGGGCCAGACGTCTGGACTTGCCCTGTCACTTGTTTAGAACAGCTTTTAATGCCTTCTCATATCTTGTGGCAGTGAGTTCTGCGTGATAACTTCCCCCTGCACGAAGAATTACTTTCTTTGCCCAGTCCTGGATGAAGCCCAGCCAACATTTAGCACTCCTGGATAATATATTTTCACACTTTTCCCCTTCGTGATTTTTTAATTAACGTAGGATCGTTGTCCTCCCCCTTTTGATTTCTGGCCATCTTTTGATACCTTTTCCATGTCTTTTTTTTGGGGTGGGCAGCTTGGCTCGGCTCCCATCAGTCCCAGCTTGGGAGGGACACCAACGGCTGACCCTTGGGATGGAGGGGTGGCCGACACCGCCAGGGCGGAATTGAGCTAGAGCAGAGTGAGGCGTCCTGCCAGGCCCACCGCTTGAGAGGAAGAGACCTTTTTATGGAGCTCAGCAACAGCCAGGTGGCTGGATAGAGAAGTTCCCGGGAGGAAGGTATGTACTTGCAACAGATGATGCCAAGGGACGGCGTGCTGTGTTGCCGCAAGGAGGACCCTCGAGGGCTTGGCCACGGAGGAAGAGCGCAGGGGTGCTGCTGGACACGCCGAGCCAGCCGTGGCGGTTCCATCCGGCCAGCGAAACGGGCACCTATTCTGTTTCCAGACCAGCAGAGATGGAGTTTATGATGACCACATCCTGTAAACAAAGGGAATAACCAGTGTGGCTTTAGCGTGCCCTAAGTCAGAAGAGCGAACTCCCCCCTTCCCCCCCCCCAACGGGCGGGCCTACGTACGTCTCGAAACGCGATGTTGTCGAAGCCGTGGGCGGAGGCGTGCTCCGCCGGTTGCCGTTCTCCCAGCACGCGCTGCTTCTTGAGGCAGCAGCCGACGATCAGGGCAGCCGCCACCACCAAAAGGACAGAGCACACGACGCCGGCCACCAGCCCGGCCTCCGAGTCTGTGTTACGGGAGCTGCTCCCTGGCGGTGGAAAAGAGGAAGGCCACTATCAGTCCCAGGTCAGGGGTGAGGGGCTAGGACCCAAGATACGCCAGCTTTTTTGGGGGCAGGATACAGCACTTACCTGCCTCCTGGCTCTCCTCCATGCCCACAGAGCACAGCCCAGCCACGTATGAGATGTCATCCACGGCAATGGTTTCTGAGCTTGGCCACGCTCCGCTAGTAGCTTCCAGTACAATCTGGGCAGGGGAGGGAGGAGAAAGAAGACTTCTAGCACGAGGAAGTCCTAAGACAGCATATGTGTGATTCACCTGTGAGAGTCACCCTTCTGTCTGTTTTTATGCTTTTCTGCCAACGGAGGAATCCATAGCAGTTCACAAATGATTAAAAACAGGTATATTTCAACAATAACAGTGGAAAACACGGTATTAAGTCATGGCATTTTAAAAAAAAAGAACACATAAACAGGCTTTGGCGTGTGTTCCACTTTTAAATGGCGTGCCGAGCAATGTTTGTTCTGTTAAAAATAGAGCAATAAATATAAACCCAACGAAACGCAAGGGGGGTGGCACCGAAGGGCAGACATGGGCCTGGATACGGAAAGAGCAGGTTGGTTCAGACAACCGTTACCTGAAACTCCGTGAGACTGGACACGAGAAGGGATTGGTTCTTCCAGGTCCGGCTTTGGTGCCCGACGGCGCTCCACAAAGTCCGCTCCCCCTGCAGGCTGGACAGTTTCACCCGAAGCTCTGCTTGAGCTGGTGGCGCAGAGGAGGGAACGGGGTGTGTGTGTGTGTGTGTGTCAAAGGGTCCTCCATCCCTGGAGGGTGATCTCCACAAGCCGCCCCTTCGGGGGCCATCCTGCCCACCACGCCCAGCATTTTACCCTTCGCCCGAGGCTGCCCGCCCGCCCGCCTTGACTTACAGCTCTGGCCGAGGAAGTCCATATGGTAGTGGAAGCGGAGGCAAGATCCAGTCGTGGAGGGAAGTGGCTCGCTGGTCAGCCGGGCTGCGCTCCTCCCCAGGCCCAGCAGGGCAATGTCCACGTAGATGTAGTGACCTAGGAAGAAGAGGGGAGGGGCAGCCCAGGGAGCAATAAATAGAAACCCAACACTAGTTTGGATTTGGGTTGCTTTCGGTTGCCAAATCCACCCCGACGGAGACGCACGAGGGAGGCATGTTACGAAGTTCTCCAGGTCCCCAGCCTTTAGCCGCTGGTCTGCTACGCGTCTCCTCTTAAGCAGGCAAAAAAGCCCACAAACCCCTAACCCACTGGAACATGGAAATGCTTGTGACAAATCTACTTTTTGGATGGGAGAGAAGTGCAGGCTCAAGGTATTCGGACAGGAGAGATGATCTCCCGTAGACCAAAACCGGCATCGCTTCGTCACCTGGGTGTGCTTTCTAGGTCATGAGACACACACACACTCTGCCCGCCCCCCCAGGTTTTACCCTCTGGGTCACGACCCGGCGCAGAAGCTCACCTGCTTTGTTCCCCAAAGTATGGTCCTCCTTGGGGGAGGGGGACTGGGACGGCGTGGCCCCTTCCTTCCGGTCCCAGCTGTACCAGTCCCCGGGCGGCTTGCTCCACCCGCAGGTGCTCCATTCGAAATCACAGGACCCTGGGGGGCCGAAAAAACACACCGCGGTCCCTACCGATCCGTCGCTTGCTGGGGGAGTAGTTTGAGCCCCCCTCCGGTCTCCCTCCACCTTCAGAGATTAGCCCCCCCTCCAAACAACGAGACTGCCTCCATACTTGAGATCTCTTCTGTGTAGGTGACTCTCAAAAGCCCTGCACATTACCTGTGTCGGCCGAGGCTTCTGGGAGTTGTAGTCCATCCAGGGCACGGAGGACTCTGGCTGCTCCCACAAGAATGGTTTTAAAAGAGGGTTCCCTCTCCCCCCCCATCCAGAAAGAAAGCCCCCCCCCAAACAGGGCTGGGGAACTGGGACAGACAGACACGGTGGTGATCTTCAAAGCAGGGGTGTGGGGACCCATTGCTGTCACCTGGCTCAGAGCAAGCCCCCTCCTGCACATAAAGGTCGTCGAGCGCAAGGTAAGAAGCGGGGCCTCCGCCTCCCCTCTCCGCCAGCAGCGTCACCTGTCCAGGGGAGACACAAAGGCAGAGAGGAAAAGATGACTCCAGGCCGGGTTGAGTCAGGATCCCAGGAAATGCCAGTGTTAAAAAAGCTGTTCTAAGCCGGGCCCTTCCCTTCTCTGTCTGGGAAAAAATTGGCATTTAAACCCGGCTCACCTGCCAGTCCCTTTGGATCTGAGTGCCGAAGCTGACAAAATGCCAGGCTTCCCCGGGCACCAAGCTCTTGGTCAGCACCTCCTTTTGCCTGCCTCCTTCCTCCACGTAGGCACGCAAAGATCCTGGGGGGAAGGATACAGGATCAGGGCCACACATCAACAGAAGAGGGGAGAGCCTTCCAAACCCCGACTGGCATCAACGCGCTGCAGAGCCCGAGGTGCAAATCTGAGTGCCAACATCTGACCTTGGCCCTCAACGTAGAACAGCAACTTGACCAGAAGGGATGGAAGGGGGGGGGTTAGAAAGAGGCATCAAGCCTGTAGTCCTCAAGACCTACCTGGATTGCCGCTACTCAGGTAGTACCAAAATGTCACACAGTGGGTGCGAGGCCAAGGTGGGAATACGCCAGACCGCAGGGTGGCTCTTTGACTGGATGCCGAGGTGTCCCCACTGGTGTTGAGGACGAGATAATGCCCTGGAAGGGGAGGAAGGAGTCATTGATCCCTTAAATAATGGCGATGATTAATGCCCCACCCCACCCGCAGTGGAACATTTCTGAACTGGAGGCACAGGTCTCTGCCCCAAGGAGGCTCCAGTTGCAGAAATCTCCTCTTTAATCCTATGCTTGTAATTCTCAGCAGCTGTCCAGGTGAGGAAGGAAAGAAGCCGGGGAAGATCTGAGAGGCGTTGTGGACCTGATTCTCAGTTTTGGGAGGTTTCCTAGCTCAGCAGCAGCAGGCGAGGAGGCCCACAGAGGCAAAGGTGAGAAGAACATAGAAATATTGGGGCTTGGGAAAAGCATAACGGTAGTGTTTCTAAAGACAGGGCTGTGATTCACTGATGGAACTCACTGCCACCAGATGTAATGACAGCGATGAGTCGGGGGGGCTGTAAGAAAGAAGCAAGCATGCGCGAGAAGGCCGGGCCTAATGCACTACATATTGGTGAAGCCTCCATGCTCAAAGGCAGTCTATCTCTGAACACCAGAAGCTGGAGGGAGACAATTGGCAAGAGGGAGGAACGGAAGGGCACCGCCGGCATTACCTTGGGGTGTGCCAAGGGTGTGGTCCGCCAGGGGACCCCAGCCCCCAGTCCCATTCTGCCGCACCCAGGCTTGCTGGCCACCAAACACGAGGCCACATTCGTCAGTCTCAAAGGAGCACTCGATCTGTGCGCTGCAGGCGCCGGGCACCACGGAGATGTCATCCAGAGCCACCGACCCCAGGAAGCCGTTCCTGAGCGCCTCAAAGATGACCTTGGGTGCAAAAGTGAGGTTTGGGGAACGGGATGGGCATGAGAGTATGATTTGGGAGAGCCGAGTTCCAGTCCCGCCATCACCACCACCCCGGCTGCGAGCCTCACCTGGAAATTCTGGCCGGCCTGGTGGGAGACCGTGGAGAAGGCGTGGCGCCAAACTGCGCCCTGGCTTCCCGTCCTGGTCCAGAGCACGTGGGCTGGCCCCCCAGCCGATTTTACCAAGAGATTCAGGGTGCCTGGAGACCAAGAAGAGAGGATCGGGGCCGTGGTTACATCCTGCATGGGTGGATTTTAACACCCAGGCTCTTTGGGAGCCACTGTTAGTTGGAAATCGGGCCTCCAAACGCAACGAAGAGGAAGGGGGAAAAATAGTCTTCTGAGCCTGGGGGTTCAATATTCCCTTAAAGATTAGATAATCTTCATAATTTGGCACCACCACAAAATCCTGGGGGCCCTCTGAACACTCCCCAAGGGCTGACCTCTGAGTTGGCTTGGCTTTCTTTGCAAAGATTCCCCACAAACCGGAGAGAGTTGGTTGTCTGGGTTTGCCTGACGGCTGCTATGGGGAGCAGAGCGAGCCCCCCACCCCATCTCTTTGCCACCAAAGATGGGGGCGGCCTGATGGAAAGGTCCCCTTACCAATCTGGGGCCCGTCCAGGCGGTACCAGAAGGAAAGGCAGGAGTCGTTGCCCGCAGCGGCTTGTGGCGCCGACACGAGGCGGGCGCTCAGTCCGTCGGCTCCAGGGGCAGACGGGTCTGCGAGGAGGAAGAAACCTGGCCGGGGGGAGACATGGGGAGGGGTGGGAACAAGGTTAGGAGAGGGAGAACGAAGCCCTCCAGGGGCGACGACAACTCGCCGGATGACGGTAGGCCAGCAATCCTCTCTCTGATCTACCTCTGATCTGTTCTCTTGAGGGTAGACTCCGGAGGAAGGCAAGGCTCGCGCGCTGCCTTGACCGCACCGTAGGAGAGGCGAGATTACAAATTACGGAAGTGATCATAAGGAGATCTTTGCGCGCAAGCAGAGTGAGGCCGCCTTTCTGGTGCTCAGTCCCAGAACAGGAAAGATCCCATGTCCTGGCAAAAGTAACTTTTTGGACGCTGTGCCTGGAGAGACGAAGCACAGCCTCGCACCTCGTGGGGTGAAAAAACCAAAGCTTTGTGCCCCAAGACCCAAAAGAAGGCCAGGCCAGCTGGGATCTGCTCTTGTGGCTTCTACCTGTGCCGGTCGTGTGGTCCTGCTCCCAGCCGGGGCCTTGGCTGCGTTCCCACTCAAAGCCGCCGCTCTGCTCCACAAACCAGCCGCACCAGCCGGTCTCAAAGTTGCAAGACAGCCCTGAGGAGCGGGACAGACCGAGAAACATATCAAGATTAAGCTTCAGGCACTCCCAAGGTTGTATATCTTTAGAACACTCTAACAAGTAAGAGGGAAGAATTACTTTTACAAGCAACTCTCTGAAATCTGCCTTCATTTCCTCCTTCCACCCTTTTACCCCATTCCTCAATCACCGCAATTAGAACACTCTAACAAGTAAGAGGGAAGATTTACTTTTAGAAGCAACTCTCTGAAATCTGCCTTCATTTTCCCCCACCACCCTTTTACCCCTTCCTCAATCACCGCTCCTGTGTCTTATTTTTAAAAATTATGGGGTAAGAGGGGAAGAAGACGCCCAATTCAGAGGAAGCTGCCGAAAAGGCCACGGATTATCTCCTCCGCGGATCAAGCTTCACAATCCAGGCTGCGAGTCGGCCGCACGTGGGAAGAGGAGGGGTCGGAAGCGCCCTACCTGACGATTCGGGGAGGGCGGCGCTGGCGTCACAGTCCACGAAGGCGATGTGGCGGATGGTGAGAAGAGGGGACCCTCCGGGGCTGTTACGATCTTCCGAGCCCAGCAGCTCAAGCTTAGGGGGAAAGAGACAAGAGGCCACGTGACATCTCCCTGGGATGAATCTAAGACCCAACCCTTCACCCAAAGGCAATATACCCGTATTTTTCCGCGTATAAGACTATACTTTTGTCTAAAATCTTTAGACTAAAAAATGGAGGCTCGTCTTATACACGGAAGTAAGCGGAGGAGAAAACAAAAACTAGTGGAGGGGAAAGCAGGGATCAAAGCGATCCTGCAGCGCTTTGATCCCTTTCCCCCTACACTTGCTAACCCCCACTTATTTTTCTTAATTTTGGATTAGAAAAGTGTGTGGGGTGGTGGTCTTATATATGGGGGCGTCTTATACACGGAAAAATAAAGTAATAATATTAATTTTTAAAAAGGTCCCGCCCATCTTGCATTCATGGTTGGCGACCACCTACCTGGAAGGGCCTGGCTCTGGCTCCAAGGGGAATCCGGGCATGGGACCATCCGGTGGTGGCGTTCCCGAGGGCATACCATACCCAGCGACCGGTTCCCAGGCTCTCGTCCGCCACGGCCAGCGCGAGGAACCCTGGAGAAAGAGAGCACGCGAGGCTTTACATGCCCTCCCTGGGCGGCCCTTTTCCTGATCCCTGACTTTCCTACCCCTCAGCCCATGGCGGAATACGTGGCTTCGCTGCTCCCCTCGTGATCGTCACAATAACCCTGCAGGGTGGACCAAGCTCAGAGATAACAAGACCCCACAAGAGATGAAGGAAAGGTGCCTTGCTCAAGGATGACCGGGGAGTGTCGTGGCTCTGCAGGGAGCCAAACAGGGCCCAATCCGGCACTCCCAAATGTTCTTCCTGTGGCCCTGGGCTCAGTGCCGCCACCATCCCAGCACTGGCCGAGGAGGAAGCAGCTCAGTGGGAGAAGGAGAGGCCAAGCCCAAGACTGCCCGGTGGGTACCTTGAGGGCCGGCGGTGAAGTTCATCTCCAGAGCGCAGGCCAAGCCGGAGGGACCCAAGACGGGGGTGGCGGCCCTGGCTAGAGAGAGCATCTGTCCCGGGCCCTCCTGCAGGTGGAGAGAGATTCCTAAGGAGCAAGAGAAGCCGACAGAAGGTCTCAGAAACAGGGGAACCACCAAGCAGGTGGGACTCCTCCCTTCCGGGGACCACCTCTCCCCCAGACCGCAGCTGCCTCACCTGCAGAATTCAGCCAGCCGCTGGCGTTCTGGACGGTCCACTGCATCCGCCCCACGCTGAGGTCCGTCCAGCCGCCCGTGCCAAAAGCCGTGGCTCCTGCAGAGGGACACGAGACCTTCTCGCCAGCTGACCCGAGAGAGGGAAGGTGGGCCACTGCCTTTTTTTTTCTTCCCCTGCCCCATCCCGGTCTCTTTATGCCCAGACTGCACCCCTCCCCACCCAAACCGTCGCTGGTTGTCTCTCTCGCACACACGGGGCCGAATTCTGCTCAAAAGAAACCTGCCGGCTGCCACCTGAAGGCAGAGTTAAGCCCACGACACCCTTGCCAACCGGTCTCAGAGCACCTCGGTCTCACGTTTCTTGATCCACAGCCTTCCCTCTTCACGTCTGAGATGTCAATTGCTATTGTTTCTTCTTTCAGAAAACACGCCTTGTTCCTTTTCTTGAACCTCAACGGCGGCCTTCGCTCCGGGATCCCAGGGCCCCCCACCCCTGCAAAGGGGTCTCTCTGCATTTACCGCAATCCGCCTCATCGGAGGCGTCAGCACATTCAGCCTTGAAGTTGCAGACGAGTTCTGAACCGAGGCATCCCGTCCCGTTCCGACAGGCAAACTCTTCCTGGCTGCAGGAGCTGGGGGGATCCGGATCCGGGGTGAGGGAAATGTTGCCTGGATGAGACCCAAGAACAAAAGGCGATGAGAGCCGAAACGAGAGACGGAACATCCTCTGAGAGGTGGTCAGTCCTCGGGGAGATAGAGACCCGGCTTTGCCCGCGGAAGGATTCGAGGTGCCCTCCCCAGATCAGGTTTGGAGAGACGGGGAGGTTCCCCCCCACCAAAAAAACCTGCCACACTCACTGCTTTGGACCACACAGCCGGGAGACAGGATGAGGTCATCCAGAGCCACATTCCCCTCGTGCCCAGCGGCAATCACGCCCTCGAGGATAATCTGGGGTAGCAAAGAAATCTCCATCAATACAGGCCAACAGCAAAGTGGGGGGAGCCCTTCCTCAGCTACACCCCATCTCTGTGGGGGCATAATAGGAATATAACTCCTGGCACCCTTCAAGACAGCTGCCTCCCACCCCGCTCCCAACAGAGGGATACCCACGAAACCTGTCTCTCGTGCTCAGGAGAGCCTTTATGACTCCAGGCTCCTGTTTGGTGGTTTTTTTTTAGTCCTGGGCAAAATCCCTTCTTCCTCCTCCACCCAGCCCCACGGCCTACCTGAAAGGTCTCCGCCACGTGGAAATCCACTTTCTCCCGGAACCAGTAGTTGCCCAGATCTCCGGATCGGCTCCGGACAAGCTCCATGGTCCCTTCCGTTCGGGAATAGATATTCAGGCTGTTGGCGCCGGAGCCGTGCAGGTGGAGGTACAGCACCAGCTGGAAGGGAGAGCCAGCCGGAGTGTGAGAGACGGAGGCCGTGGGCGAAGCTGAGGTCTCCCCTCATGGGGGGAATCAGTTGGAGCTTGGCTGTCCCTTCCCCACCTCCTCCAGACAGCTGACCATGCATCGGCTGTGTGGGGAGAATCCCCATCCTGCCTCCTCAGCGGAGTGGCCAGCTGCCTGAGGAGGCATGGAGAGGACGACTGAGCTCCTGTCCGGATTGGGAGTGCCTCCTGGAGAAGGAGGACCCCAGCAGAGCACCAAGAACAGCGAGTGGGCCAGCCAGTCCAGGGGGCACCCGTACGAAGCGGCACAACCCAATTCGTGAATGTCTCTAGATAGGGTTTCTAGAGCGTCTCCTACAAGGCGTAGATGCCAGGATTGCTGAAGAGCTGGGCAGGGTTCCTTGTAGGGACTACAAATCTCAGAATGCCCCCCAAAAATCAAGCTCAAGGCATGTCGCCTGAAGAAGCAGAGCGTGGCAGAATCACGGAATTGGGTGAAGTTTCTTTTTACGGTCAATAAATCTGAGAATCTCTCAGCCAGTAGGTCCACAAGGGAGCCAGGAGACCGCTTGGAGGATCCCCCCCCCGCAGATGAGGCAGGGAATGCTTGGGGGGGGGGACTCACATGACACAAGGCGCCCTTGCTGGCTTTCAGGCTGGGGCTGGCCAGCCACGCTCTTCCCCCTGGGAGTCCCAGGCGAGGGTTGCTGATGGAGACAAAGATGCCTGCGTGGGATCAAGAAACAACACATCAGCCCATGAAAGTCCTGGCCGGAGAACACATTCTCTGCCATAAACCCAAAAGAGAAGGCTGGGGACGTGGTTCTCCCCTCCCCGCTATCCTCTCAAGAGCCCTGCGAGGTAGGACTGGATAAGGAAATCTAGAGCCAGCCCAAGGACACCCTGTGAGCTTTTTGACCAAATTGGGGAGGGGAAAGGATTTGAACCCAGGCTTTCTGGGTCTAAGTCCCCTACAACACACAGTACGGTCCCCCCCAGGAAGAGAAACTGCCCCACACATCAGGACCACCCCAGATTCACCGCAGGAAAAGGGGAAGGCAGCAGACCCAATGAACGAAACCCCAAAATGACTGGAAGCAAGTTGGGTCATGAGCTTCGTTATGTTGAGGGCTGGGATGTTGTTAGGGTTGGTGGGGAGACCCTGATCCAATCCCCTTTCTGTTTGGGAGGACTCAGCGCCACTCTGGTTTGGCCACCTGACCGCCTTCCCTAACACCTTCTCTGGCTCCATGTTTACAGCCTCTCCTATTCTCCAAACAGCTTCCTGATCCTTTAAAAAAAATCTCTTGGGCCATCAGAGGAACCTAAGCAGACGTCAGAGAGACTCAGTCTCCGAGTTACAACATCCCCCCCCTCTACAAAACACAGACTACAAACACACACAGAGAGAGACAGCAACGAAGTAGTTTTTTGCAAGATGTTCACAGCAGCCCCTTCCCCTTCTGAAGCCCCAAAGCAGTTGCTGGTGGGAAGCTGGGAGAGGCTCCCCCTCGGACGATGGAGCAGAACAAGCCTCGGGGAAACCTCAGAGCATGTCTGGAGCCTTCTGGGGTGTGTCGTCTCGAAATGTGCCATCTCCAAGCCCCGGGCAGGAGGAGGAGACATCAGAGGTAGCCCCTCGGCCCCTTTTCGGCTGAGCTCCAGCCCCTGGGCAGCTCAGACTCCTGCCGAGAAGTGCTCGGCGTCCTCCCCAGACCCGAACCCACCTTCCTGGCTGTTGGTGCTGTGGTCCCGGGTGGGCCCGACGAGGGATGAGGACACGAGGAGGCTGGAGTGCCTCGTCCAGGTCAGGCTCTGGTGGGGAAGGGCCTCCCACCCGCACCAGCTACTCTCAAAGGGACAGCTGCTAAATGAGGCTGTAGAAAAAGACAGAGACAGAGGAGAGAGAGGCTGAAGGTTGTAGGACGAGAATCTGCCCAATCTAGACAAGAGATGGCCACGGGCCTCTGGGGTGGGTCTCCTTTCCCCACTCTGGCGGCAAGCGGGGCCAGCGGGATCATCTCATGTGGGGGGTGGGGTAGGGGGTGGAGGGGACTCACTGCAGTTCGCTCCCCTCTCGTCTTCCCCATCCCAGCAGTCCTCGGTCCCGTCACACAGCCGGTCCAAGGCGACGCACCCCCCTCGCTGGCACTGGTGCTCTTCCGGCGTGCAGGCTTGGGCACCTGGATGGGGTGGGGTGGGGGTCACAAAAGGTACACTAAGGAGGGGGGGAGCCAGGAGTCGGCCAGACACTTCCCATACACTGTAGGCAACCAGAGTTGGAGGAAGGATGATGGGAATCGGAGGCCAACCGCCCCCAGAGGGCCACAAGCCGCCCCTACCCTCAGTACGGAAGCCCAGGCGCGCCCTTCCTCTTCTTCTTCCTCCTCCTCCACCCCCCCTCCCCATTCTGGTGCCCTTGCAAACGTCAAAGGGAGGCAGGGAGCCTTACGTGGGCGGCCGCAGTTCCTGAACTCCACGTCGTCCAGGGCGAGCTGCACCCTCTGGGGATAGGTCTGGGTGGCCGAGAAGGTCACCTGCAAAGCCACCGAGAGGTCAGGGTTTTCTCCTGCTCTTGTCCCTAGTTCACAAACCGCAAGGTTAAAAAAAAAAAAGGTTCCTGCTTACGACATGCCTCGGGAATGCTGAGAATGGCCACAAGTGAAAAACAGAAAAGAAAAATTTTAAAAAAGCACCGTTCAGCATGCCAACGGCTGAATTAACACATTTTAACTCTGCTGCTCGAAAAAGCTCCTGCCATTTGGAATGAACTCTTTCAAAGCTTCGGCGCTCGGCTCGTTTCTCTCCGCAGCACGGAGGGACTGAAAGACCTCGATGACAAAAAAAAAACCCCACCAACTTCCACCAGGGATTTATGAGGACGGATCGGGACCCTCCCGAGGCCGGGCGAAGGCAAGGAAGACAGAAAGGTGACTCTTTATGCCCGAGTACCTGGAACGTCCCCAGGATCCGGCCCGTGTACGCCACGAGCTCTCGCCAGGGGTAGGTGCTGCTTGGAGGGCTTCGCCATAAGGTGATCGTGGTGTTGCCGTAGCTCAGCTCCAGCGTCAAAGCCGGGGGATCGGTGGCGCTGAGACCTACATCGGCAGAACACCCAGAATCTGTAGCCGCCCAGAGTGCGTGCGCGTGCATCTGAGCCCTGTCTCCTTGACGGCTCACTTGTCACTCCATCAAAGAACCGGGGGCCCACCGGATGAAAACAAAAACCCCCAGTTTTCCCCACAAGGTACAGGAGGGCAAGTGTTCACAAACCAGCCCTGGCTGAATACCTACCAGAGAGGTGATACGAAGCTCGGATCTCACAGGTGGCTGCTGCTTCCCTCATCGTTGGGGACGTGAGCTTGGCCGTGGCAGATGGCTTGACCGTCTGGCTTGTGGTGGACATGTACCAGCCTGTGGGGAAGCGGGAGCAAAGGGGGGCGGCTTTTGAGGGGCTCCCACATCCCGCGGTCATGAAGGCCGCTGGGGAGGGGGGTTTCCACCGTGCCGGAGTCTCTACCCCAGGGAAACCCTCTCACCCTGATCGGTGCCCAGCGTATGGTCAAAGGGGGGCTTCGTCCCCCAGGTCGAGATGCTGGCGCGGGCGGGGGTCCATCGGAAGGCCGTCGTGCTCACATCCTCCCAGCCGCACGAGGTGCCTTCGAAGTCGCAGGTGAACTGAGTCCCCAAAGGCACCGACTCCTTTTGGTAACCTGGAAAGGAAGCAAACCATATAGTGTTGAAAAGACTCTAAAGGTCATCTAGTCCAACCCCAATGACTGCAGGAAAGCACAGCTAAAACATCCCTCGGCTTCTAAATCGACTCAAAAATCTCCACTGGAAAACAACCCATGACGGTTCATCCCATTCTTAAAAAGCTCTTGCCGTTAATTCTTCTCATTGTTACTTTTAGTTACTGGAAGTTACTTCTAGTTACTTCTGCGAGAGTTACTTTTAGTTACTTCTGTGGGAGTAACTCTATAGTTTTGCCGTGCCCGTCTTACACCCCAGCCCCTCCTTCCTCTGACACCGTCGTCTCAGTTCATCCCCCGTCCCTTCCAAAGAGGGAGAACTCACCGCACTGGTTTTCATCCGAACAATCCCAGCAATCACAGACAAAGTCGCAAAGGCTGGTGCGGACGCTCCCACACCGGTTCACGAAAGCCGCCTGGACAAAAAACAGGGGCCCAGCTAAGAAAGGAAAGAAGCCCAAAAGGAAGAATCATGAGGACTAGCTGCTTGTGTATTTGTTTTCACATTTTGGCCCCACCCTCCTGCTCTGTTATGCTTGAAATGAAACACACCCAAGGGGTGATCGGTCAGCTCCCATGAGTCCCAGCCAGATCATGGGAGCTGTAGTCCATTCAGATGCTTGAAATGAAACACACCCAAGGGGTGCTTGGTCTTCAGCTCCCATGAGCCCCAGCCAGATCATGGGAGTTGTAGTCCATTCAACCTCCAGAGGGCTCCAAATTCGCTTATCCCTAGTGTACCGTTTCTACCTCGGTCCTCACAACAGCCCTGCAAGGTGGGCAACCTCCAGAGGGCTCCAAATTCGCTTATCCCTAGTGTACCGTTTCTACCTCGGTCCTCACAACAGCCCTGCAAGGTGGGTTAGGCAAAAGGAGGCCTCTGAGAGCAGGACAAAATCTCCAGGGGCTGGATGGGTTGGCCAATGAAATAAAAAGAGCCCCTGATTAAACACCAGGAAGGCACGAGAGGAGAGAGACCGACGGCCCATCTCAGTGGCCATGAGGTTTGGCTCCCATTTTCCTGAAATGAAGCCTCGGGTTTGCCCCCCGCCTTCCCACTGGAGTAGCAACAACAGGCAGGCCTTGGGAAAAATAACTTTGGAAGGCGAACCACCTTTCCAATTCCCCAGCCTTTCTTGATCTGACTGTCTCCTTGAAGTTAAATTTCTTAAGTACTGGAAATAGGAACTTTTGTCTCTCTCTCTCTCACACACACACACACACACCTGCCTCTCCAGGAGCATCCCTTACCTGCCGTCTCTCTCTCTCTCACACACACACACACACACACACCCCTCTCCAGGAGCATCCCTTACCTGTCAGGACCTCCAGGAGCATCAGACCCCCAAGCAGGCGGGACCCCGACATCCTCGGTGGGCGAGAGGCTCCTCCATCTGCCAGAAGAATTTGCTCCCGGGGAGAGAAGGGCAGGTCCCCGGCGTGACGTTGCGCCCTGGACTTCAACCTCACTTATCACCTGCACCTCGGAGACAACGTCGGCCAGGACGATTGCCTCCTTTGGGGTAAGAGGGCTCTTTGGCCCAGCTCCGGACATGGGGGTGGGGAAGATAAACAACAAGGAGGGTATCCAGAGACCCCCCAATGCTGGGAAGGGGGAGCCCCTGGAGGGCAGGGATGACCGAGAATGGACGGAACCCCATCCCTGCCCTGACATTTCTGGGCGACTCCCGTAAGCCAGCCAAGCTGCATCCACTGACGGACAGCATTGGTGCTACACCGTCGTCAGGATCGAATGAGTCTTACGAAGAACGCCATCCACAGGGCCGCTTGGCCAGCTTAGGGTGGCATAACAGGAGATCCAAAGCGCAGATGGCCACAGCTGGCCCTTCAAGGCCGACTCAGTGAGGAAGAGCAACCCTTTGGGCTGAAGAATCTGGGAGGCCGGTGAGCACAGCGCCCTTGCTTAGAGCTGCGGCCTTCGAGGCCCAGCTTAGCCAGGATCGGTGTCTGGTAGGAGGGGAGCAAGCCAAAGAAAGAGGCTTCCATTCTACCCGAGGGACGGCCTTGGACTTTCGACTAGGGCAATCAAGTTGTAAAGTGTCAGGGAAGGGAGGTGGAGGAAGGGGAAGATCTGGGTTTTCCTGGAGGATGCAGGCTCTCTGCTGGGCAAGCAGCGGAACTCCCTGCCACCCTGGAAACGACACCAGTGAGAGAATACACACTTAGGGGTTTTCCCACCTGCCTTCAGATTGAGCACCCCCCTCTCACACACACACATTTGCAGGGCCCCAGGACAACGTCAGAAACACCTCCGACGGCTCAGCCTTTCGGTATTTCCCAGTTCAAAAAAAGGCACGTCATATCCTTAATTATGGGGTCAGGGTCAGATTTAATCATTTTTAGAGCTGGTCCACTGAATGAAACAGCCGATCCTTCTAAGACAGGGACAAATGAAGGCTTCGAATCTGACTACGCCTGAATCCAATCCCTAGCAAATGGACACAATGCCACTTCCCCCGGGGCTGTTTATCAGCGGCCCCTGTGTGTGTTTTCATGCTACACAGACTGGCCGAAGGGCTCCCACCTCTAGGTTCTGCAGCTTCCCCTGCGCTCTGGGATGGCAAGAAACCCACAATGGCACCAGCCATCTAGTTCGGCCCCCTGCCCTGTCCCCATCTTGTTTTACCCAATCAAGAGCCTGCTGGAAAGGAAATACTGCACATCCCTGATACACCACCTCTGGGGCTTCGGCATGGGGTAAAGACTGCACAGGAACCACCCAAATAATGCCAAGAGTCATTTATTTCGTTGTATGGAGACCTGAGCCTCACACATTCAGCTGAGGCCAGTGCAAAGCACATAGAGACACACAATTGAAAAAAAAACACCCACAAAAACCCACACCACCCTCTCATGCAAAGCAACCCACTTTCCCGCTGAAGTCTCAGTTCAGGTAGGACTGTAAAGCACCCGCCAGCAGAAGCCGGGATCCCTCGAGGTCTCTCTGGGAGCGAGGCCCATGGGGATCTCAGTATCCTTCATCGGACCAGGTGACCTCGTAATCCGGATACCGGGTTTTCAGCTTCTCTGTGGAGATGGAGTGCTTTGCTTGGCCGAAGCCCTGCAGAAGGAAAAAGGAAAAGAAACATTATGCGCCTTTACTGGCTGTGCAGGCGATATCTGGGAAAGCTGAACGGGCAAGGATCCTCTCTCTTCCTCTCGCCCTTGCTTACCACGGAGTAGCCGTAAATGTGGAGCTTCTTGGCCGTGCTCTGGTGGGAGATCCGGCCGCCTCCCAGGCACCGGCAGCGCAACCCCTGCTTCTCCAGCTCTTCCTCTACTTTGTCGTAAATGTCGGCTGAGGATACAAAGGTAGGAGAGTTATAAGGGGGGGAAAGGAGGACTCGGGAGGCCGCCCCCACCTCCCACTTCTGGATCTCAGGGAGGCTTCACCTGTACAAATCAACCTCCAGGCATCTGAGCCACACAGGGCTGGAGGGACTACAAAGCCTAGTATCCCCCAGTGGGCAGATGCAGCACAGTGGCTTCTGGGAAGGGCATTCCTGGCCAAAGGCACCCCATGGTAATATGGAGGGGGTATAGCAGTGTTCATCTGGGGGGCAAAAATGGTCCACCCCACCCCCATGCCAAAGCATCTCCCTTAGCCCCGCCCACCGGCCACGCTAGCAGGGCTGGAGGGACTACAAAGCCTAGTATCCCCCAGTGGGCAGATGCAGCACAGTGGCTTCTGGGAAGGGCATTCCTGGCCAAAGGCACCCCATGGTAATATGGAGGGGGTATAGCAGTGTTCATCTGGGGGGCAAAAATGGTCCACCCCACCCCCATGCCAAAGCATCTCCCTTAGCCCCGCCCACCGGCCACGCTAGCCCCGCCCACCCCATTCCTTGCGCGGCTTCATTGACGCCCTACTTCTCCAAGATTCTCAATGAAAAAGCACGCCCACTTTAAAGCCCCGCCCCTTTCCAATGCGTTTACCCTTAGCCCCGCCCACGCCATAGGCCCGGCCCATCTCGAACCACGCCCCCTAGCCCCCGCCCACTTGCCCTCCTCAGCCAATCAGGACCGGCTCACCGTGGTACTCGGCCCAGGCGTACCCGCGCACGACGTCCTTGCCGGGGCCCGCCCCCTCCGGCGTGACTCGGATGAGGACGTACTTGAAGACGCCGTCCGGGTCGATATCCACGTCGGGGACGCGGCTCAGGAGGTCTCCCGCTCCTCCCGCCATGGTTGTTTCGCCGCCGGCGCCAACTAAGGGAAGAGGCCCGCGCTCCGTATTAGCCACGCCTAACTCTACCCCGCTGGCCAATCGCAGTGCGCGCCCGTGTCACGTGCGCGGCCCGAGTCCATCGGAGCGCCCGCGCCCTCCCGAGCGGCTTCCCCAATTGGGCACGCCTGTAGCCCTTCTTCCGTCCTCTGCCCAATAGCGATATAAACCAGCCCTGGCCAATTGCCTTTCAGGACGCCTTACAGAAGGCGGGAATAAGGAGATAAATTACCCAATCACGGTGCCTCGGCGTTCTACGCAGACCAATGGCCACCAAGGGGAGGGGCGGGAGGGGATTGCGGAACGCACAGCGGCGAGCCCCCGACCCGCTCGGCCAATGGGATCCGGCACTTTTAAAGGGGCGGTTGCTCTTAAAGGGAAAGGGCTAGTTAGCCGACAAATAATAGAAATAAAATATAAATATAAACCGAGATCTAATATGGCAGTGAACTTCTGAGCATGGACAGAATTCCATCACTCCATATAAGGGGCAACTGAGGCACACACACGAACCTAGGACCCAATCAACTGTTGTGATCAGTAACCTAACCTCGCCTCCCTCTTCTGGGCGAAAGGA